GGGTGGGCTAACCCGTTAAGACAAGTTGAAGCCCTTGAATAGGGGCCAAACAGGGGATGGGCTTCGCAGAAGTGAGGGTGTTGCATCCCTGTGTCATGTTATATAAATACCTCTCTTTCTCTCTGTAGACATGGGTTACTGAATCCTGCCATGAAAGAAACATTTGAGACAATAACGCAGCTTAACCCATTAGGTCGGGTCTCAGGCTTTACCAGGATTTACTGACCACCAACCTCTGCCACCTTATACTCTGCAGTATGTAAGTACAAAGGATGACAGTAACACCATGTGACCTAGAATTCCTGGGAAATTGGATGTCGGGATCGTTGATATTTCTGGTGGAGAGCTAGCTAGCACTTATTCCTGCCTCATAATGTATGTGGGAACAACCCTCTTTTCTTATTCTGTTATTGATACTTATTATGGCTTTTGTACAATGTACTGGGAGACAAGTCACACATCCCCAGTAGTTGGAGCAGACATTATTGCCCTGCCACCCTGCAGCCATATTCCTCTCTGTTAACAGCAGTGGCTAAGCATCCTGCCCCAGGGACTGAATCATAATTGGTTATACTAATTCTTTTCTCCTTTGCCAGTTATTGGTCTAGGCTTAGGCATGTGACCAAATTCTGGCAAATGAAGCATAAGTTGACACTTAATGTGGGATATTGGGGGCAGGTTTTCCTGCCTCATAAGAAAGAGCCCTGAGGAGGGAGTCTCTGTGACTGGTCATCATCCACTTCCCTGCACTCGGATGCTGCAGGAGTGTCTCCCGGGAGGAAGGCTCTGGAGGCCCAGCTTCAGGTGGCTGACGGAGGACGCTGCTCTTTTATAATGGGAACCCAGTCAAAGTTGGGTGATTGGCATGCTTCCCTGTCCATATTGTTGTTACTTGATTGAACCGAGAGATTTTTACCTAGTCAACCTTGCAAATACAATGAACTAGATTTTACCTTGTCAGAGATCCAAATTGTGTGTGTGTGCGTATGTGCGTGCGTGTGTGTGTGTGTGTGTGTCCGCGTGCGTGCGTGCACGTGTGTCCATACATGAAAACCACATGTAGTGCAGTGGCCACAGGCTCGTGCTCTGATATTGAACCTCCAATATGCAAGTTCAGCTCCAACATGTACTGAACTTGGACTAATCACTCAACCTCTAGGTTTCAGCTTCCTTAAGATGGGCTTAATAGTAATTACTATCTAATAGGGTTGTGAGGATTAAATAAAAGATGTCTGAGGCCTAGTACTAGGTAAATGAGTAGTAAATGCTGGCTTATGATTGTTATTCCTCACAGGACAAGGTTGGGTGCGGCTGGAGTGATCAACCCTAGGAGTCTTACACTTGCCTTGCCAACCTGAGTTGAAGGAGAAAAATTCAAGCAGATGGCCGAAGTTTCCAGATCCCTTTTCTTGTAAGCCTCTTTTCAATTTTATTGAAGCAAAAAGTTGAGTAGCAAGAAGCATGCCAGCTCTTGAGTGATTGTGCAAAGTTCTGCTTCTTCCAGCAGAGGCCTCTTGTGCACAGGAAATGAGGCCGGTGGCAGGTGGGAGGGAGGGAGGGACCTGGTCCAGGGCACCGGTTCCAGGAGCTCCCCCAGAATAATACCGGGAGGGCAGTCTAAGGAAGAGATGGCAGGGCCTCCACCCCCCACTCCACCACCCCTCTGGGCTTCAGAGAGCTGGGTGTCAGTGCCCTGGAATGCAAGTCTTTCTTGAAAGAAAAAGAAAGGGAGGAATGGAGGGAGAAAAGGGGAGAGTGGAGAGAGAGAGAGGAAGGAAGGAAGGGAGAAAGGGAGAGAAAAAGAAAAAAAGGAAGAGAAAGGGAGAGAGAGCAAGAAAGGGAGGAGGCGGAGGAAGAAGAGGAAGGCGGGGGAGGGGAGCGGGAGGAGGGGAGGAAGGTGCGGGCTGAACAGCCCTGCTCCTGGAACTCGGGTTTCCTCTCCGGCTCCGGGGCTCACAGACACAGGGCACAGCCTGCTGCTCACACGGGTCAGACCTGCACAGCAACCTTTTCTGCTCGCTGCGTTTTGTTTACTTCCACTGTTGCTACCTTGGCAAAAGGGTGGCATCTGAATGATTTTTAATCCTTAATTACTATGGATCTGTGAAAACTTGGCACAAAGCCTCTGGAATAGATTGATGGGGGAGAAGTCAGGTGAGCTCTTCAAAGGCACAGTAACAGAGCCAACGGCTGAGACGGAGCCAAGGCATGATCTGAAGAAAGGAAGGACATTTGATTGCCCAGAGGGAGCGATGGCGGCGTCTTCCCTGGCCCAGTAGGGCCTCTTCTCTCTTAGGGGGTAAGCGTGGGGTTGTGTGGATGACTTGCTCCCCACGCATTCTTTCCTGAAGCTTTAAACCTGGAGTTCATGCCTTTCAGACAGAAATAGTCCCTCGCCCATATGCTGTATGCGTATGTTATTACTCTAGACGTGCTTTTGGTGAGATAGACAGGCAGCCAAATGGGGGCTGTGACCTTCCCAGATCAGCACGGGGAAGGAGGAGCCAACAGGACTGCTGTGACATCAGGTGACATGCCCACTTCTCCAGGAGCCTGCAAGTATTTCCTCAGCATGTCTGTCCCCACCTGGGGGGAGGGAACGTTACCCCAGGGCTGTGGTCCAGGCAGCAACAGGAGAGGGACAGGGGTGGGACACAAGGAAGGAGGCAGGAGTGGCTCTGTGGGTGGGCTCTGCTTCTGTGTGGGACCTGCCCCAGGAGCTGCTGGGGGTCTTCCCGGGACAGCAGCGATTTCTGGGCCTGTGGCCTCCGGCCAGGCCGGCTTCGCTGGGAGCAGGACTCAGCATGGACACTCAGGGAGCTGATGGGAGGCCCTGGCTTGAATCGCTGGGGGGCAGGGGAGGGACCTGAGGCAACGGTAGAACGAGGCAGAGGGAGGAGAAAAAGCTGCCGAGGGCCTCAAAGCAAAAGGAGGAGGGTGGGGGTGGAAGGGGAAGGGAGGGAAGAGGGAACCCAGCAGGATGCTGGGGCTGCTCCCTGGATGATGTTGTGGGGACTAGTGCCCAATGCCACGTGGTCGCCAAAACCCTCAGTCCATTTGTGGATGAGATGCCAGCTTCTTGCTGCTGTGCCAGCCTTCAGAGCCTGTGCTGGGCCTGCTGCGCCATCCCTCTCCTGGGCATGTCTGTGTGACCTCCGGAGCAGCCATGCACTCTGCGACCAGCTGCAGAGCGAGGCCCAGGGGCATAGGGTGAGCACTGAAGGCTGAGTCCAGCCCTCACTCTTTACACCAGACCAGGGACCTCAGGGACATTCTTTGTCATTGTGTACAAAATGGGGGGAGTTAACCCCCCTCCATTTACCTCTCAGATTGTTATGAGAATAAATATTTCAAAGTATTTTGTAAATGAAAGCATTCTTATTTAAAGGTTTTGTTTTTGTTTTTCCAATACAGAGTTTTTTCAAAATTACAAAAGGAAATTTGTTTCAAAAGCAAAAAGGAACATTTTACATTTGAACAAAGTGATAAACACGTGTTCTGCCAAAGAAAAAAAATCCATGGCATAAAGCTTCTCACTTAAATTTTCCAAGCAAAAATGAGTTGTGGACTCTTGCCTTAGGAAAGGGAAGGGAAACCGTAAACCAATTTTGAAATGAAAATTTCTTTTTGCCAGAGAATAAACCTAGCAACCTGGTTGTCTGATATCCAGCATCAACTCATAACCGGCTCTGATCTGACACACTCCCATCCATGGCATGGCTCCAGGTGTCAGCTCACCATCTTCAGCACCAGCTGTGCTTTCTGGGTCCCAAGACGGAATCCTGGGAGAAGAGGTTTGTAGAATTTGTTTCATCTGCTATTCTTCTGGTCTGGAGAGAATTATTATTTTTCCAAGAACCAACTTCTCTCCCTTTCCCATTCATCTGAGAATTGGGGATCAAGGTCCTACCAGCTCTCCGCAGATCACAAGAAAGAGGAACTTGCTTGCCCCTCTCCTTTGGGCGGGATTCTAAGGGCCACAGCCCCTGGCAAACCCTTAACCTCGATATCAACAAGCCCGATTCTCTTGGAGGCTGGACAGCAGTCCTCCTTGTTGCAAAGGCAACAAGACTTCGCTGCTGCTACTCTGCCCCATTCTGCCTGACCTAATCCCTTGGTCGTCTCTGCTCTGAGGATTTCCTTAAGAGAAAATGTGACTTTGTCCTTCGCTTTTCGTGATGGCCATTTCCCATGATTGCAGGTGACTTTCAGAGTGACTGAGTGTTTGCACACAAGTTGGAACTAGAAAGAACCTTCAGGTTCACCCTCCATCAGCCAGGTAAGGAATTTTGATCTGTGCTCGAGACTGGAACCTGTTTACCAAAATCCACCCCTCTCCTAATATTGGGAACAAAGGTAGATCACCCCTATAGCCTCCCTGCTCTTAATGTGCCATGGGACTGAAGTTTTTCTCCAGTGCAAGAAGAGAGGAAGTGACCCATTCAAAACCCTGCCTGTACTCAGCTATGCTCTTTTGCCCTTCCAGCTGACTGGGACCATCACCCCCAGTAAGACCGTGGGAGCTAAGGGTTGGAGAAAGAGTGACAGTCAGCCTGGATCCCTTCGTGACAAAGTGAAGACAGACACCCTACCTGCCTTGTCCTCTACTGCAAGCGTGGTTTATTAAAACGTTACCCGAGTCAGCAGATCCTGAGGTTAAATGCTTTATGTGCACCTCAGTTTCCTCATCTGTGAAATAGGGACAAAATTCTTACTTCACAGAGTTTTTGAGCAAGTAATATGAGATAATGAATGATGACCACCCATTGCAGTTTATGGCATATAACAGACACTCAAAAAATCTTGATTGAATACATATCTTTGTTCTTTGGGGGTTGGGATATTTCAATGAAATACTCATTGAGGACAGAGATATCAACATGGGAAAGCTGGTTGATGGAAGTGAGAGAATCTATCTCAGCTCCTTTGTCCCTCTCGTTCTAAGAAGGTTGAATAATTTGTAGAACTAGTCACTTGGCCAGGGTAATGGAAACAGGCTGTTGTAGATACAGTGGAAGCCATAATAATAGACCATGACATCCATTTATTTTCAAGTCCCTTCTCAGTATTCCTCTCAACCCAGAAGCCAACCAATGAACCTAGGAAACCAGTGAACAGGAACTTGTAGTCTCTCGGGTTGGTTGGTGTTTAAACAAAGCAGCAGGACTACAGGAGAATATGCTTTCACATCATGGGCGTTTAAAAAAATACGGTAACTTGGATGATTTACTGAGTTGATCTCCAAGATGTTGTCCATCTCCAAGTTCGTGATCCTTAAGAAAATAAGCAGAATTTTAGTTTCATCTTCTGTTGACTCCCGGTGCCTCCCCAAGACCATTACCTGGGGAAGCACAAATCAGAAAGAAAATTCCCCCCAAAAGCACAAAATAAGGAGAAAGATGTAACCAGTGATCTCCGGTCCATGAAAAATTCATATGTAAGCATCTCAGCCTGTTACTAGTGGGGAAAAATTGTCATGTTAATATTTAAGCAACATATCCTTTTAGTGATACTCTGGGTTCATTTTGCATTTTGGTTGGGGTACATTATTACGATCCCATCATCTTTGTACAGATTTATACGGATTATTTTCTCTTTTAAATAAAGCATCTTTTCTTCAAAGGACTTCAGACATTAAAGAATAAGCTGTGTGATCGGATAGATCTGGATTTGAATCATGGGTGAGTTAGTTAATATTCAGGTTATGTGTCCTCATTGTAAAATTGTGGTTAAATATGTACCTGATAAGGCATATCTTGAGAATACTATTAGAAATCATTAATGCAGAAGGGGTGGCATATAATAAACACTCAAATCCGCCGGGCTCCATCCCTTCCTTTCTCCTAAGATGCTGAAGGTCTCGTTACTGGGGCCTCAGTCTGTGGTTGTGGCTGGGAACACCCATCCACATGTGACTACTGCAGGGCTCAGGTGGGTAAAGGAGCAGCAGCAGGGCTTCCTTCTGCCAAGAAAATCAGACGGCTGATCCTGAAAAAGTCTAGGTTATGCCTGCAGAGTATAGAAACATCAAAAGGTGAGGAAGGTTTGAGAAAGCTATTTTTAAATGGTGTCCTGCTGAGAGACAAGCTATCTGGGAAGGTTTATTTCAGGCTCATTGCAGCTCTCCCCCTGAACTCCTACATTTCTGGTATTGATCCCCATCTGCTGGTACATTATGAAAGACACTCCTTCCTCAGAGGCACAGCCGGCGTTGGTAGCCTTTTTGTGAGAGCACTATGCAGAGGCTCAGGCCAGCACTGAGATCTGGGAGGAGGAAGAGGAAGTTTCTGGAACAGAAGAGAAATGGAGCTTCTTAGTAAAGAAGGGCAATGCTATTGTTAGTCTCAGCGTAAGTTGCTAGGTTGTTCCTCCTGCACTCAGCTTCTCTTTAAAGTGACCGCCTGGTATGGGAATGGTCAGTTTAGAGACTTGGAGAATGGTAGCAATCCACTCTGCACCTAGGGTTTAAAATATCAACCATAACTTAATTTACTCATGATCTGCCATTTGGGTAGGGCTCAGCCTGTCTCTACTTGGGCAGCTTCAGCTGAGGCAACTTGAAGGTCAGTCAGGTGCAATGCAATGGCTGGTGGCAGAAGTCATCTTCCAACTTCACTGTCCAGTTGATGGTGGCACCAGCTGTGACCTCAGTGAAGACTGTTGGCTGAAAACCTACGTGTGGCTTCTCCATGTGGCACTTGGCTTCCTCAGAGCATGGTATTGTGTTCTAAGAGGGAGCAACTAGGGAGACTGGACAGAAGTTGTATTGCAGTTTTTGATCTAACCTTGGAAGTCACTTAGCAGCACTTCTGTTTTGTCACAGGTCCGCTTAGATTCCCAGGGAAGGAAGGTAGGCCCCTCCGCTCAGTGGGAGGCGTGTCAGCATTGTACCGTCAGAAAGGAGGCCTTGTCGTGGCCAAACTATTTGACACCATAGAATAAAGTCTTGCTTAGAAAGGCCTTCACTATTTCAAGGTTATTCATCTATAATTTCCAGTATTTCTAGTATTTTTATGGTTTAACTTTTAATACACTTGGAAATTATTTTGACGAAAGGAGGGACATAGGAGTTCAGATTGATTTTTTTCCAAAGTGATGAACAAGTTGGAACATCTACTGATTAATCATCTTTTCCTCATTGATTTGAAAGTTTACTTTGTCATATAGTAAATTCCTACATATTTTGATGTCTACTTTTGGACTCAATTATTTTAATCTACCTTCTTATCCTACCAAGATAATTCTCCAAGCCATGAGCTCGGCAGCTAGACAGACCTGGGTGTAAACTCAGAAGCAGCTGAGCCGTTGCTTCCTTGAATGCTTGGAGCCTCCATTCCCTGCTCTGTAAATTGGGGACAATTCTACATACCTCACTGAGTTATTTTCAAGATTAAATGACTTCACATGTTGTGCAAAATTGGTCAGCATTAGTCCCCAGTACCTGTGCAGGTTGGCTTCTCTGAGCAGCCGCTCTGAGATGGAGACCCACGTGCAGGGTGTTTCTTTGGGAGTGCCCTGGAATCCACACGTGTGGAAGGGAGGGGAACAAAAGGAGGACAGGCAGAGAGTAGAGTGAAGCCATCATGCAGACCCAAACACTACCTCAGCCAACCTTGTAGGAGCTCTGGCGGTCAAACAGCCTTTCCACACTGTCCTGGGTTGAACAGGCTTTTATACGCCACATCCATCAGTGTTGCGTGGGGCCATCACAGAAATGGGCGTGAGTAGGGTGAGGTGGCTCTCTGCAGCTGGAGGCCCCCAGTGGCTGGGCTAAGTCCTTTGTGAAAGAGGGATGTTGGTTACACATCACAACGTCCACCACAGCACTTCATTCAAACACGTTTCAGTTCTCCTCTCCCTCTTTTCCAACTCAGAGTGAAGAGTTCAGCAGAGCTACATGCTGGAAGGCTTCTTGTCCAAGACCTTCTGGTATGCTGACATTTCAATACTTGATGCGTCACGGAGGCACTGAGAACACACTGAGGGTTGAGGAGGAAGAGCTTTGCAAGAGATGGAGGAAGGTGGGGTGATATAGCCTAAATGAAACGAGTCAGGCAAGCATTTGACAAAACCAAAGCTTTCATCTCAGGTTAAAACAATTTTCTTTTGCTAATTTTTGTTTACTTCTGGATCAGAAAATTGACTCCAAAAGGGAATGTGATTACCAGGCTGTGGAATGATCTCATGATTACAAGGAATCATCTTAGGAAAGTATTTATAGAGATTAAACAAGATGAGGTCATCAATTTGCTTTTCCTTTTATTATAAAAGTAAAATAAAAAATAGCATTTATAAATCCATTCTTTTCCTTTAAAGTATTTGATCTAAAAAACATATTTACAATAGCAAAATGCAGAAAAAGGAGGAAACACCATTTTCAGCAGTGATTGTAGCCATGTTTAAATATCGACATGTACATGTTCTTTTTTCAAATCACCGAGATACATTAGAAAAAGCAGGATGCCTTTTTTTTTATTATACATCAAATGACTCTCCCTTCAAAATATCTCATTTAAAATATTCTTAATAAAATATTAAGAATTCTCTTAACTCTTAATCTGAATGATGACTGTGCTGTGGAAAGCCAGAAAGAACAACAGGTGGGGACAGTGACAACTTTTAGTGACAGTGGGAGTGCAGCAGAGGGACAGCAGCAATGACAACAGAAAGCAGCGGTAAAGCTCAACAAGCTACCTCACCGCCAATGAGGCACCGGCCCCACCAAAGCCTGTGACTGCTAGATACTATCTGTAAGTGGGCTGAACTGAAATCCATCTAAGAACCAAGCAAGGAAGCCAAGTTTTAGGCCTTGAGTTAAATCCAGAACGACCCAGGCGCGCAGGTTGTCTTCTGAGTACCTCTGGATGCACTTTGCCTTCCTTCCTTTGTACGATGTTGTGGAATTTCAGAACTTTGGTTTACAGGGTGTTGGAAATGGCCAGAAGGCTAAATTTTGCCTTCTATAGGTCCTTCCTGCCCGTAATCGTGGGGCATTTTGTTAAGAGTTAGCAACGAGCTGCCGCTAGTCAGAGACTCTGTAAAGCTGAGTTTGCGGAAGGATGTCTCCACACCGCTGTCACAGATGCTGTCGTCTTGGAGCTCGTCTGAGGGGAGAAAGCATAAATTCACTGGGGTGCAGCTGGAAATAAGGCATAGCCTTTGCTTTCGTATGCCTTTCATTCCAGCCGGACACAAAGTTTGGATCTAAAAGGTACTGGGCATGTGGGCTACTTTTGCCCATTAACTTCTACAAGTCATCACATCTCACTTATACCACCTGCTTGTCATTACTGTTCACAATGGGGTGAGGGGCAGAAAGCTCCCCATAATAGACTGAGAAGACACCCAAATCTAACCTCGTATTTGTCAGAAAGCTTTCTGAATTCTCTTGACGCAAATGTACCTTTCTTTCTTAGAAATCAGGTGTATTTTTCCAACCACTGTATTACCTATTTTTATAGCTGGGGAAATTGCTGAATCTGGACAAAATAAATTGGTGACAGAATTAGGAACTAAAAATAAGATATCTTTCTGGGCTGTTAAGCACTATACACTGCCACAAAAAACATTTTGGTAGCAAAAATAAGGTGATTTTGGTGAAAATGAGTCTATACTGAACAGTTAGGTCAAAATATCCTTGTGGAGAAGTGTCTTTAGGCATCTGAACAATGTGAATTATTTCATATATATATCATATATATATATTTCATATATATGTATATTTCATATATATATTTCATATATATATATATATATATAGAGAGAGAGAGACAGACTGAGACTAATGGAAAAGAAGTCTAATATACCTGAATCAAAATGCTATCTTCTTATATATTAAATTCCAATATTAAAATTAAGACTTTAATGGCAGTGGCATGTCTATTGTCTTGTTATTGATGGATTTATTCAATTAACCAATCTTTATTGAGTTTCCATTAGGTGCTAGGGACTGTGAGGTATTTTAAAAATAACTACAAATCAAGGGCTTAATGCTTTTTGAGATATAAGTATCCATTTCTTTGTTAGTGTGGGAGCTGCGTCAGGTCCTGAGACAGGAGATGTGAGTTGTTTTCCGGTGGATACATTATTTCTTTCTAAAGTGGGCACAGCATCAGTTCTGACTCCTAGCAAGGGCCCCCCTCCCGACAAGATGACACCAGTGCCAAAACTGAATGGCAAGGAGGAGCCAGCCAGGTGAGGATCTCTGCAGGGAAGAGGAAGGGAAGGTTGCAATACCCTAAACTGGACTGGACTAGCAGGGTGGGAGGAAGAGCAGGTGAAAGCCATGTTTAAAAGAGAGACTGGATAAAGAAGGGACGTTGCCTTTACTGCTCACTGCTGCATCTTCAAAGCCTCCAACAGTGCAGAGCACACAGGATGCTGTCAGTAAAGATTTGCTGAATGGATGAGTGAACTGGAGGGTATACAACAGGAGCACCATAATCTCACTAATTTTTAAAAAGAATCACACTACCTCGTGTGTGGAGAACGGACTGAAGGGAAACAAGGAGAATGATCAGGGCGGCGGCAGGAATGGAGGCAATGCAGGTGGACTGGGCAGGGGTGGTGGTCGCAGAGAGGAACAGACCTGATGGCTGGCTGCGTGGAGCCTAGGACCAGGAAGAACTCCTGGGCGAGTGTGGGGTTTTGTCTTCACCTCCTAGAGGATGGCAGTGCTTCTGACTGATGTGGCCAATCCTCAGTTCAGATGGGGCCCTGACAGTCCCGTGTAAGTAAGGACAAGGAAGGAGGGCCTAGGACCAACTCTAAAAAAGTCTCCTGAGCAGCTCTGCTGTGCAGGGGAACAGAGGAATTGGGCTGTAGGTGAAAGGGAAGTGGAAGAGAGGGAGTGTTTTTTGTTTTTGTTGGTTTTATTTTGAAAAGATGAGGGAAACCACAGCATGCTTGCTAAGTGCCCCAGTGGGATGGGGAGACCGCTAGTGCAGGGGCAGGGGTGTCGTGGATTAGAAAGAGAAAGCGTGAAATGGCTTAGAGAGGGGGAGAATAACGTAAAGGGAAACGGGACTGTTGGGCTGTGTGCGAAGTCCATCATGTTATGTGTTTTAGGTGGATGACAGATGGAGCCAATGATGGCGGGAGACAAGGTCAGTGTCATGAACATAGGGAGGGGGCTGGGGGAGGAGAAGGCCTGGAAGGCAGCATGCTGAGGAGGTGAGGAGGGTGTCCATCCACAGTCTGGGTGCCATGCTGGTCCCAGTGTTTTTCTCTCTCTGTATCTCTTTTTTAAATTTGAAGGATGAGAGACATGATATTCACCCTAACCACCCACATCATATTGTTTTTAGCATTTATTGTGAATCTAAGTAACTCATGTGTCACTGTGATTGTTCCTAGGGACAACCCCTTACCTGAACGAAGGTGTCAGGAGGGGCAGAAGGTTGAACGTGTGAGACCCCCCTCACCCAGCAGGGAGGAGACTGACACATGGGACAGTACACTCAGGAGAGAATGGCGTGGAGGGCATGCCATATCCCAAGGGACTGAACACGCTGGCCTGGGGAGCAACTGCTTTGACTGTCTTTTTTTCTTTACCTATTTGCTGTCTTGTGGAGGCAAGTGAGAGCGGCAGTGAGCGGGTGTGGGAGGTGGTCTGCACTGGGCTGGGGACCGCAGTTCCTGAGGTGCTGAAGGCCCCCTGGATCAGTTCGATGGCTTCAGTGTAACCCATTTGACTCAGGGCCTCCACCAGCTCTCTTATTGTTCCTCCAGAGACCTGCAAGAAAGAAACAAAGAAAGAGTATGTTCTTGTGTGCAAGGCCGTGTAAGGAAGAACCAGGCAGGCTGTCAATGCCACACCACACCCCTTCTCTCCGCCAAGCTTCCTCCTGAGACCGCAAGAGCCAGGTGGTCCTGGAAAGGTCAGAGCGGAGAGCGTCTAAGAAAATAACGCTGTCTCTGAGTCAGGTTTCCTGTTTCAGCTCAAAGACCACTCAGGAAATCACAGAGGAGCAGTTTATAGTAAGCACAGTATGAGGGAGGGGAGGGAGGGG